CCAGCCTGGTCCTCAGGACACCAGGACTGCATGTTAAGAAGGGGATGGAAGTGAACTGGCCAGAGCTTCAGCTATGAGTAGTATAAAAATGTAATGAATAAAACAAGAAGGCACAGCAGCCTCATCTTCTCCTCCTGTGTGTGGTTTCAGGCTCTGTGTGTGTCCTCTGGTGAATCCTGGACTGTAAGCACGTCCATTTCAGTGAAGGAAAATGCTAACATGTTTGCTTTCCTGTGTTTTTCTCCAATGTCTTGTGCAAACTCTGTGCTATTAGTATATTTTTGTTTAGGTTTTTGTTGAAATTTAAGTTCTGGTTGGTGTGAACTCCATGGGTACAAGCACCCTGATTTGGCTCCAAGGGCACATTCATTTGAAAGGAATGCAACACTGATGATGACACTTGGATGCACCTCAAATTTCTGTCTTTCCTGATTCTGCAAGTAACTCTGGGAAACTACATACAAATATAGATCACCTTTGCATCAGATAAGTTTGCATAGGGCATGTACCTACTGGAATGTCTTGCCCAGCCTTCTACTGCCCTGGTACCTTTACCATGGAGTGCTTGCTACTTATCTACATACCCAATCAGCTGTGGAACGATGCCCATGCATGAGTTTCTTTAAAACTTGTAAGCAGCAGCCTGAAAAGGACTGGACCATCCACAGATATACAGAGTAGGGATGCGTTGAACCTATCAGTCATGGTTGCTCTCTATTTCACTCAGGTTCTCAATTTTCAAATCTTAAAAGTTGTTTCTGACTCATTTGCTCACCAGTATGTGTGCACATTTAGAAGCCCACATAAAATTTGTATGCATTTTCATGCACATTTCTGCTAATATACCTGTAATTGTGTGCAATTTCACTTTATATGCATTTTCTCACATTACTTGCAGTCACATACACATGTTTGTGCATAATTCCCCTAAGTATATATACTTCCTAAATATATGTTGATTGAAGAAATTAATCCCAACATTTGAAGAAGTGCAAGTACCAAAGAAGAGAGGTTTCAGTACACAGGTTGGTCTGGAAAGTGTTACTTACATAGGTTCACATTTAAAATGTGAAATGAACTAAGGTACCCCCTATCTATAAAACACTTTACTCACAAAATACTGGAGTCAAAATGGGTCACAAACCATAGGGCTTAAACATGAAGTTTACAATTACCTCAGCTTAATTTACAAATTTGAAAGCATATTAAGGAGGACTATTTATAGTTCAGGGTAACCTACTCTACAGAGCTGGTATTTGGAGTAATTCACAGAGTAACTATAGCCTTTATTGCAGGAGAACGAGTAGAACTGGGGAGGAAGTTTGCATTTCCCCCTCTGTGTTCATCACATCACTTTACACTTACTTACACTAAACTGCATTTGCCATTCCGTAGCTCATTTGCCAAGTCTGAAGAAATCCTTTTGGAGCTCTTTGCAGTATGAAGAGATGAAAGCACCATGCAAAAAGGAAACCTCCCAATGTCATTGTTCAATCACATCACGGTTGCATGCTGCTTTAATTAATGAATAAATATGCTGGTACACATCAATATCCTGCACAGGAAGTGAAGAGGCATGAACTGAACGCTAGCAAGCTGCTTGTGTGCTAATTACAAAATTAAGTTTAGAAATTCTTGAATTTAAATTAGAAGGCAGGTGAAGTGGAACTCCAGGAAGAGCTAGCCAGAGAACAACAACACAGTGAAGGAGCAGACATCTGCTGATCCCGGCGAATTGGTGGTCTCCTTTTTATCTTCCAATCTGGCACAGTGAGTGTTGGCAGGCTTCCATCACACACAAGAATGCCACAGGTGTGAAAGGAACACTGCACCTCTCTGTCTCTCTCTCAGACAGGGAAAAGGTCATGTTTTTCAAAGGCACCACGAAGGCACTGTGAAAGCAAAGATGGAAGAGGGGTCTTACGATAGGATGTCTCTGACAGGCATCAATCTCTCCCTTAGATTGTATTTTGGAGACTACCTTGGGGAGCCCATCAATTCCCCACTGGAGACTCCTCACCTCATTTTCTGGTGGGGGGATGTAAATTTTTGTACCTGGTTCCATGTTTCACACAGACTCTGTTTGATAAAAGAAGGGTGAAGACCATCACCATCTTCTGTGCCCTCCCTTTTGAAATAAATGGGAGCTATGCAAAAGTGTTGCAGTAGTCTTGTGAATGCCTGTTCATTTCAAGGGGGCTTGCACAGGAGAACTTGCTAGTATTTTGATCCTTAAGAGGATGCTGATGTGCACCTTTCTCCTTGGCATGGTCCAGATAACATCCTGGCCATCTTCTGCTGGCTTCAAACGAGGTCACACCCTCCTTTGGAGGCAAATTATTCCATAAGGATATTGGAGCATGCCTTTGTTGTGACTCTTCTTTTCCTGCAGTTTTGTGTGTCCAAAGCATGTTGGGAGAGGGTTTATTAGATATCTAAGCCAGGAGTTCAGCCGTGCTGAGTAGGTTTCTTGGCCAGACTTGAACAAGGCACAGATGAAAATTGTGCATGATTCCGCCTGAATGTGACTATCCATTGACCTAGTTTGCATGACACAAGAGCCCACCCTTGTGGGCACCCTTGTTTGTTTCAGGATGGCTTGTTAAGAGCATAAGAATGTAAGAAAAGCCATGCAGGATAAGACCCAAGGTCCATCCAGTCCAGCACACCATTTACACTGTGGCAAACCAGCTGCCCACACAATTCCTCAAGCAGGATGGGTGTAAGAGCTCCTCCTGCCCAACCTCCTCAGCAACTGGTGTGTGCAGGCATGAAACAGAGGTAGGACATAGCCTGCAAGGCTAGTAGTCACTGAAAGCCTCCTCTTCCTCCATGATTTTGTCCAATCACTTTTTAAAGCCTTCCAAATTGGCGGCCAACATTACCTCCTGTTGCAGTGAATTCCGTAGTTTAACTATGTAATCTGTTCCTTTTATTTGTCCTAAACTTCCTACACTCAGCTTCATGGAATGACCCTGAGTTCTAGTATTTTGCGGGGGGGGGATGCCTCCTCCTCCACCATCTCCACACCATGCAAAATTTTAAACACCTTTTGTCATGTCTCCCCTTTTTGCAGCATTCAGAGCTGGCATAGTTTCCCCAGCATAGACAACCACACACAAGCAACCCTGAGAACCTTGATAGGCTCGTCAGGTTGACTTGTTTTCAGAGTGCTTTGTTGTGATAGGCAGGCTCACAGGGCCAGTCATTTACTCACAGCCTAGCCTGCCTCACAGGATTGTTGTTGTGAGAATAAAATGGAGCTCTCATAAGATGTGGTTTACCTGGATCTCAGCAAGGCCTTTGACAAAGTGCCACAGGATAGCCTAGTTGAGAAATAGTTGAGCTTCAGGATAGATTGATATACTGTCCGATGGATTAGGCATGGCTAACAGACCACAAGCAGAGGGTGACTGTGCACAATCAGTGGGGACTAACAGACCACAATCAGTGTGGAATCATCACGATGGCAGCCAGTGACAAGCAGAGTTCCTCGGGGCTCAGTTCTGGGACCAATTCTGTTCAACCTTTTTATCAGTGACATGGAGAAGGGGATACCCAGTCTGCTGACTAAATTCGTGGATGACACCAAAGTGGGGGCAGTGGCCACAACTGAGGAGCAGGTGAAGGATCTGGACAGATGGTAGAAGTGGGCAGGGGACAACAGGATGGCATCCAATATAAATAAGTGCAAGGTCTTGCACAGAAAGAGGTGTCGCAGGTACAGGATGGGGGACAGGTGACTGGAGAGCACTTGTGAAAGGGATCTCAGGGTACTTGTTGACAGCAGGCTGAACATGATCCAGCAGTATGACACAGCAGTTAAAAAGGTGAATGCCACCCTTGGCTATATAGCCAGAAGCATGGCTTCCAGATCTAGGGAGGTGTTGATGCCACTGTACATGATTCTGATGTGCCCACAGCTGGAGTACTGCATCCAGTTCTGGGCTCTACATTATAGGAGAAACACAGGGTGGAAATCGGTTCAGCGCAGGGCCATAAGAATGGTAGCCGGGTTGGCAGGGATGACGTATGAGGAGAGATTGAGGGAACTGGGTCTTCTCGGGCTGGAAAAGAGGAGACTCTGAGGGGATGTTTTAGTGACTTCTTGGTATGTGAGGGGATGTCATGTGAAGGAGGGCCATGACCTGTTCTTCCCTGTAGTGGAAGACAAGACGCATTCCAGTGGGGCAAAGCTCGAGGAACCAGGCTTCAGGTTGGGTGTCAGGAAGTACTTCCTGATGGTTAGGACCCCTAGGATATGGAATCGGCTACCAAGGGAGGTGCTGGAGGCCCCATCAGTGAGGGTGTTAAAGGAAAGATGTAGGGGATTACATGAACGGAGTGGCTGGAACCCAGGAGGCCCCTTCTGACTCACTTTTTTTCTACGTTTCTATGCAACTTTATCTTACTTTCGGGGAGATTTGCACAAATATTTATTAAATGTACACACATCTCCCCTAATTTTTTAAAGAACAGATTTGTGCAAATCTGCCCAAAGGTAGTGATGGGGAAATACTGTAAAAGAAATTCCCAAAAGTGGTAGTGGGGGGTAAGAATTCTACAAAGTAGCCTACTCTACTAATAAGCATATTTGCAGAGTAGGCTGTTGGGGTTATGCCACAAATATGCATAGGATAGATACCGGGAGGACTAAGGTGGAAACAAGTCCTAGCAAGCATCAGGCTATCTGATCGCCTGTTGGGAGTAACATGGGTTAGCAGGCAAGCCACCATCCCATTGTGGCTTATTTTCAGGATGAAAAGTCTTCTGGTCTTTGGCTGAGATGGTCTACTGAATTGGGAACCTCTTGCATTGTGTTCCTGCATCTCATGGGCATTTGTGAGTTGCTGACAAAAGTGATTCTTGCTGATAAAAGCAATTGCCCTAGTTCTGAAAGACAAACCTGCTGATGTGATGAGAAAACCTTCCTCTGTTGATCAGGCAAATTGTAATTTAAAGTATTCTATTAATGTTCATATCCTTTTTGCTTGTTTCAGGATCTGGGAATCTCCTCTCCTCTCAGCTGCAAAGGAAAACGATGTTCCCGCCATCCAGAAGCTGCTTGCCAGCCATACCTGTGACCTTCAAGAGCGAGGTACTGACCCATGCTGCTCCTTATGGCCACACTGCCCAAGTTATTTGGGGAGTCAGATAAAAGGGTGATAGCGGTAGAGGTGTGCCTCTGCTTGTAGTATGCTAAAGGCTGTTTCAGAAATGCTGGAAGGAGTGGGAAGCTTATTTGTCCTCCTAAATCCCAAACAGAATATTGGGATCTTCTGTGCTGGGGACACATACACCTCTTTTTGGGGAGGAGAGGCACACACTAAGAGGAGCAATGGGCACTGTTCCCAATTCGTGCTTACTGTTCGGTAGGCAGGCTTGGCTGTCCCTGTAGTGGAATGCTATGTGGCATCTTCTGTGCATTTGGCGCATCTTCTCTGTAGGTGCCGTTGGGGAGACAGCTCTCCATGTTGCTGCCCTGTACAATAGTTTGGAAGCTGCCCAGCTCCTGATGGACACAGCTCCGGAACTGGTGAATGAAGCGATGACATCTGAGCTATACACAGGTAATTAGGATGGTGAGCATTTGCATCTTTATCCTACCTTTTGGTTCTGCAGTGGACACCCCACAGATGCCCAATTAAATCAGTGCTGATGAAGCTTAAACCGCAGAAAAACAAGTCTAAAATACCCCTCCACAACACAAATGAGTGACTTGGGGCATATTCTGACTGCTGTTTACCAAGTAATACATGGCCATGATATGAATGTGAACATTTAGGTCTGAATTTCCCCTGTAATGAGTGGCCACATACTCAGCATATTGGTTGTGTTAATCATACTCCTATTTGGTGCACATTAGGAGTCAAGAGGCTTGGCCTGCTCTGTTCCACTTTCCCACAGGCCTTTGGTCTGGTCCAGCAGTGCTTTCTTTATGCTGTTATGACTTTGCTATACACAGGGGATCTTCTGTAGACAGAGAGAGAGAGAGATTTGATTGATTGGTTGATTCAAGTTAAAATCAGAGGGGAAACTGAGGGAATACCTTGTCTTCTAGGAGGGCGATGATGCCCAAGCAATGATTAGGTGAGCAAGAAACATTTGTTATGTACTTGGAAATGCCCAAACGGACTCCCATCTTTTCTGCAAAGAGCTCAGCAGCTATTCCCTTGTTGCCTTGCAAAATCCTATAGTGCAACTCGCCTTGGCCTGAGAGAACCACTGTTGAAGTCTGCATGATTGCTGCAGCTCCTCTTGGCTGATTTAAGTCACAACAAGCCTGCAGGTGCCATCCTGAATATTCAAGCTGCAGCTTCAGCTAAACCCAGGGAACATAGGTTATGCAAGGGTTAAACAACCCCTGCAGAAACCATGGGTTGTTTAACCGTTGCAATAACCCACTGTCTCTGAGTATGGATGACATGAAAAGCCACTTCTTGAATATTCAAACTGGCTGCCTGTGTGCACCCCAGCCATCTGTTTCTTAAATAAAAAATAAGCCATGGTGAGCTATTTGATCACACAGACCAGTTCAGTGTCTCAAGGTCAGTGCCAGCTCCATGATCTGGAGCTCCCTTTGGCATGACACCCTCAATGGGCCCCTTCCCTCAGTGAGCTTCCCTTCTCTCCACCACAAAGATGTTTTGTTAAGCAAGAGGATCAGTGAACAGTAAGTAGTGGCACCTCCTCCTCCTTATTCTCAACACAGCAAGAAGCTGGGAGACAGGAAGGTTGCAGTGATGAAGAGGAAGAGCCAGTGTTGTTGTTGGTGGGACCCTGCTAGGACGTGTCCCTTGGTACATGCTGAATCTTGATGCAAGGCCCTCCCTGTGCACATCATGGCTTGGCTGGGATTTGAAACTGGAGTTCCCGCTTCCAAATCCAGCACTTTTCATTATATGTCATTGACACCTGTGTAATCATAATTATAGTGTGTTGCATTTATATACCAAGTTAGAGTGTTCAACGTGCTTCAGTTTTAATCGTTGCAGTAATATTTGCAAAGACTTTTTGGAAAAGTTTGCGGACTGAGGCAATATATGTGAAGCACCTTAAGTACTCCTCAAGTGCAGTCCTGTATGTTTCTACTCTAAAAGAAGTCTTATCACATTCAGTAGGGCTTGCTTCCAATTATGGGGACATAAAATTTCAGCCTGTGTCATTGTACTGTATAATTAGAATAGATCTACACTGTAAGCATGGAATGGGAGAGTGTATGAACTATAGTCACTTTGGGGGTCCCTGACAAGATTTAAATCAGCTTGGATTCTTAGCTGCTGCATCATCCCAGGTCTTTGAGAAATAACATAGAAACAGAGCGAGTCAGAAGGGGTCTCCCGGGCCATCTAGTCTGACCTCTGGCACCAGCTGGCTCCGCTCATGACATGCCCACCATGTGCATGTCCAGCCTATCTTTGAACACCCTCACCGATGGGGCCTCAACGACCTCTTGTGAAAGCCCATTCCACACCCTCGGGGTCCTAACTGTCAGGAAGTGCTTCCTGGCATCTGAATAACATCTGAGATATTCAAGTTGGAATATTAAGCAGCAGAGAGACAGTCAAGAAAGCACTGGAACTCTTGAATGACAATCTGAGCTATTCATTTTAATAGCAATTAATTTTGCATTTGCATTAGTAATTAAAATCAGCATCCATGTCAATGCTGTATCACATTCTGAATTCCTTTCTTCTCCAGTTAACCCATGTGGGTTTTCGGAAAATGCATGAAACTGACATAAATTACAAGTGACCTAAAGTGTACATTAGTGCTGGCCATGAGTTATTCACCCACAAACCAGATGCAATTTTTTTAACAGAATTGACTCCGTCCACAGTGAGCCTTGTGTATGAATCCATTTATGTATTTCAGGGGAAACGGCCCTTCACATCGCTGTGGTGAACAAAAACCTGAACCTGGTGAAAGCTTTGCTTGAGAAAGGTGCAGATATTAATGGCCCGCGAGCCACTGGGTATGTCTTCAGGCACAGAAGTGACAACCTCATCTATTTCGGTACGTCTGAAATCTGCCGCTTGCTTCCAGCATGCTCGTTTTACCACATCTTACTTTCCTGTGTGCAGAGATGTTTTCAGTATGGAAGGCCACCACATCTTTTCAGTTATGGGTCATAACTACAGTATTTAATTTACTTACAAGATTTAGAAGTCACCTTTTCAGGTAAATTCTTCCAAGGCAGTGTTCCACGAAATGTAATAAACATAATAAAAATGGGCAATAATAGAAGCAGTGTTAAAATCAAAATTAACCATTAAATTCAGGTGATATCATATGCATGATGGCCCCAGGACAGCCTTAACACAATTATGGGCCATGGCATGCAAATGACTCTTCAGGGCCTGATGGACAACAATAATGGCACATGACACAGATCAGCCGGCACAGAAGGCTTTTGAGAAAGCCCCGCTCCCTGTGCCCATCAGTCTTATTGCTCTTACAGGCAAGCACATGAGTAGGGCCTCCGGGGACTGGCATCAGGCAGGTTGGCATGGTGAAGCAGTCCTTCAGGTAACCTGCACCCAAACCCAAAGCAGTTGGGGCCTTCAAAGTGAATGCCAGCATTTTAAAGTACACCCAGAAACACGTTGGCAACCAGTGTGGTTGGAATAATGTAATCCAGTTGGAATAATATAATGTAGTCAATATGATTCAGTTCTGTAATACCGGTTGGTACTTGGGCAGCTGCATTTTCTCTCAGTTCAGGGTTGTGAATGATTTTTAAAGGCCACTCCACTGGTTTTCAAGAGAGGAGGGGGGCCACCCTTTAAACCATTGTGTGTGTTTTGGTCTGACCATGGCAGTTCTCTTTGTAGTGTACAATACATGTGTTACACTTTTCCCTTCTCCTTTCTTCATCCTCACCTTTCCCATTATTCTCCTTGAAAACAGCAACAAGAACTTTAAATGGTGTTTGTCCATGTTGGCTGTGAGGCTATGGGCATTGTAGTCCAACATATCTGAACGGCATGAGCTCGGGGAAGACTGGCATAAGGAATTTTATCTTTACTAGGGTTCCTTCCATACTTCAACCTCATGTACAAGTACCTTCAACTTCATTGGCTGGCTGGATGATAGAACAGAAAAGGCCTTTTCCTAGATGGGACCTGTCATCCAAATTCCTTCCACTTATGGGGAAGGAAAGCCTTTACCCCACAAGGATATTAATAAGAATTAGTTTCTTGTAGCTATTTATTTATTTATTTAAAACATTTTTATACTGCCCCTATCGCTACAAAGCCTCGGGGCAGCTCACAACAAGAACAAAATATACAAATATAACAAATTGTACAATAAAAATATTAGAACCCGGTGCATCTCGGCTTAAAAGATTTAAAATCCTATAAATCCTATAAATTGACAATTAAAATAAGTTTCAAATAAAAAGGTCTTAGCCTGGTGCAGAAAAATAAATAACGACGGTGCCAGGCAGACCTCTCTGGGGAGCGCATTCCATAGATGGGGCGTCACTGCGAGAAAGCCCTCCTCCGGGTACTCACCTTCCTAATACCATTCACAGAGGGTTCCCGGAGAAGGGCATCTGTTGCTGATCTCAAGGGGTGGGAGGGCATATATGGACACAAGTGTTCCTTTAGATATCCAGGTTCCAAGCCGTTTAGGGCTTTATAGGTCATAACCAACACCTTGAAGTGGGCCCGGACTTCAGTCGGGAGCCAGTGGAGCTGACGGAGAACTGGGGTTATATGAGAAAAACGCTCAGTCCCTGTCAGCAGCCTGGCAGCTCTATTCTGCACCAATTGAAGTATCTGTACCGTCTTCAAGGGTAGCCCCACGTAGAGCGCGTTGCAGAAATCTAATTGGGAAGTTACCAATGCGTGTGTCACTGTCGCCAGGCGGTTGTTCTCCAGGAAGGGACGCAGCTGATGGATCAGCCGAAGCTGAAGGAAAGCGCTCCTCGCCACCGCCGTCACCTGAGCTTCTAAAGACAGCTCAGAGTCGAGGAGCACTCCTAAGCTGTGAACCCTGTCCCTCAGAGGGAGTGCAACCCCATTTAGGACAAGGCCCAAGTCCCCCATCCCGAGGCCTGAACCACCGACCAATAGGACCTCTGTCTTGTCTGGATTGAGCTTCAATTTATTGGCCCTCATCCAGCCCATTACCTCGGCCAGGCTCCAGTTCAGCCTCACCTGGATTGGTGGAAAATGAGAGGTAGAGCTGGGTATCATCAGTGTACTGATGATTCCGCAGCCCACACCTCCTGATGACCTCTCCCAGCGGTTTCATGTAGATGTTGAATAGCAAGGGGGACAAGATGGACCCCTGCAGAACTCCATGGCATAACTGCCATGGCGCAGAGCCATAGTCCCCCTGCACCACTTTCTGAAATTGGCCATTGAGATAGGAGTGGAACCACCACAATGCGGTGCCTCCAACTCCCAATCCCGCTAGCCTATTCAGAAGGATACCATGGTTGATGGTATTGAAAGCCGCTGAGAGGTCCAGGAGAACTAACAGGGATGCACTCCCCCTGTCTCTCTCCCTGCACAGGTCATCGTACAGGGTGACCAAGGCAGATTCAGTGCCGTGCCTGGGTCTGAAGCCGGACTGAAATGGGTCCAGATAATCAGTTTTGATTAATGCAGGTCAGGGAATACATGGCTCAACAGAACTAAAAAAGAAAAAGATATTGGTGTAATGTGGACAGCAGACTAAATATGTGATGCAGCCGCCAAAAGGGCAAATGCTCTTTTGGGATGCATTAACAGAAGTATTACTTCCAAATTGTGAGAAGTAGTAGTTCCTCTATACTCCTCACTCGTCAGACCTCACCTGGAATACCGTGTCCAGTTCTGGGCACCAAGATTGAAGAAAGATGCAAAAAAATTGAAAGGGTTCAGAGGAGGGCAACAGAAATGATCCAGGGTTCGGAAACACTGCCCTTTGAGGAGAGACTGAGAGAACTGGGCATGTTCAGCCTTGAACAGAGAAGACTGAGGGGGGACGTAATATCCCTCTGTAAGTACCTCAAAGACTGTCACAAAGAGGAAGGTCAAGATCTCTTCTCACTGATACCAGAGTATGGGACACGGAATAATCAGTTCAAGCTGCAACAACCCAGGTTCAGGCTGGATATCAGGAAAAGTTTCCTCACTGTCAGAGCAATGCGACAGCTCCCTAGAGAGGTGGTGGGCTCTCCCACACCAGAGACATTCAGAAAGACACTGGACAGCCATCTGAGTGGGATGGTGTAACTTGGTGTCCTGCAACAGCAGGGGGTTGGACTTGATGGCCTTCATGGCCCCATCCAACTCTACTATTCTATGTTTCTGTGTAATTTGAAGCGGAGACTCCTTGGTGAAGATGCTTGGGTCATATTTGCATTGTAGACCGAAAGTGTTCTTTTTGGTCATTCCTTTGCCCTAGCAAACTATCCTTTTGAGGATTGGGTAAGGATCTCTGGCAGGCTTCTCAGTACCTTTGCTAAAGCCCCAGTAGCTTGGAGGAAGCGACAGCAGTTAAACTGGAATGAAACTGGTAAAGAGAGACGCTTTAGGAAATTAACCTTTGTACATTCTAACTTGAAATTCCTGCACTAGTGTCTAGATTAGTCATCTAACAGCTGTTACATTTCCTGAATGTTCTGATGCGGATCCCGGATGAACAAATTCATCAAAATCTGTTTTAAATTGTGTTTTTTTTTAGAGATGCACATTTTGAGAGAACTATTTTAAAATAAAAGTGTAAATACATATTGAAATGAAGCTGTTCAGGCTGATTTTTAAAAAAATGCTGAGAAAAAAAAGACTCCTGGATGAACACAGGCAAAAGCAAAACACCAAGGAGAGACAGATTGAGCTGCTTATCCCCTGATATAGGTTTGTTGTGTAAATATGCCCTCAGCCTTCTCACTGCCCCAAAATGAAGTGCTCTTTTTGCATTCCTCTGCAATTCATATAACAGGTTGCTGCAGGCCTTTACCAAATTATTTCATCTCTGTATCCCCAGTCTATTTTTATTCAGAGGCTTACTTTTCCTTCAAGAGCTAAATCTCCATCCAATGCAAATCAGAATTTCCCAGCTGACTTCACTGGAGCTGAGGATTTGCCCTGCTGCGTTTAGACTGATCCCCTGTTACCTGTTTCAGGCAGTAATTAAACCATGCTTAGCAGATCAATTTTCAAGCATTTTGGTAATGAGCCTTCATTAATTTTCACTCGGAATAAATTGTAACACTCCAGAGAGAGCGCATGAAGAAATGGCAGGTGTTTGTGAAACCTGCCTTCTGCATATAGCTGCTCCTACCCAAATCAAGTCCCATTCCTGTTGGTGGGAAATGTACAGTCTCAGAGAGCTGTAAACCCTCTACCTCACATTGGATAACTTATGTTGAAATGTCTTTCTTTGAACTCCTATATACCATAATTTAATTCAAGTGAAGAATGGAGTAAAGGGCATTTGACATGTGGTACAGCTGATTTTGTAATCTCTTGGAAGTGCAAGTAATTATTTTATTATTATTTTTTTATCCCACCCTTTACAGTGTCTTAGTTTCTTAAATTTTTTGACTTTTAAAAATGAGATTATATGTTGCAGGTGCACTTCTACAGATACAGACTCCAATTTCCATCAGTCCCAGCCAGTGTGGCCATAGTCAAGTATGATAGTGTCAAACAACATCTGGAGGAACAAGGTTCCCCATCCTAGATCCAAACCAGGCATTACTTTACAACAAAGTAAGTGCAAGGAGCCCAATCTGGATTGGACCCACAGACATGGAAAAGGGTTTAATCCCCCTCATCCTCTCTGTTTTAAATCAGAATTGGGAGCTCTGTACTAGCTCTGGAGTTAAATGCAGCAGCAGCAGGAAAAAATTGCAAATGAGGTCTGCACTGGCCTTCATGTTTCACTGATAAAATTACTAAAGCACATGGCAGATCTACATGTTACACCCATTATGGTAGTTGCCCCATACCATATTTAGGTGTGTTATAATGTCATTGTATTATGCATTTTCACATCTGCATCTGCAATGTATGGAGCAAACTGTTCTAGCAACTCTTTCTTCCCCACAAGAAACCCTGGGACTGCAGTTCTGCGAAAGAACACAGTTTGTGACTTCCACCAGAGAATCCTGAGCAAATTTTTGACCCTGACAGTGCTAAGGTGGAGAAATGTACAAGGCTCTGGTCTCAGAAGTTTGATGTGGTAGCAGAAACAATTAAATAGGTCTCTGTATGAGTTATGCTTGTGAATTAAGAAGGCACACGTGCTTTCCCTTAAAAGAAATGTGTGCTGCTGGTATTAATCAACTTGTCTTGATAATATTGCTTTAGGTGTTATGAGATATACAAATCTAAACAGCTTAGATGCTCTTAAAAGTGTGCACACACACACTGTTTTCATCTTGGGTTTATTATGTAGCAGTGCATCCAAGTTCATGAATCTGGTCCATTGTGATGAAGTCTGAAATTGTACCTCTGGTTTTAAAAGTCTGTCTATCTTTTTTCCCTCCCTCCCTCCCTCCCTCCCTTCCTTTTGCCTCCTCAGGGGAACACGTTTTATCTTTTGCAGCCTGTGCAGGAAATGAGGCCATTGTGCAGCTGCTCATTGAACATGGCGCCAACATCCGCGTGCAAGACTCCTTGGGTACGACATCTTCAGAGGGATCCACAAACCTTGAAGGAGGCACAGCAGGGGAGAGTGTGGTCCTAGGGCCCCCTCCCACATTTCTGGGACAGCAAGAGACTGGAGGGAGGGATGCTAAGCATCAGAAGCCAGTGTGATCTTCCTTGTCTGGGAAACCAAGGGACAGCTTTCATTATGGTGATGTAACCTGTAGAATCCCATGACAAAGCTGCTCTGGGATTGCACCACATGCACAAACTCAACACCCTGCCCGTGAAGAACCAACATGTCAGGGAGAAATTTGCCTAGCCTTCTTCCAGGCATGCTGTTTCTTATCAATGCAAGGAAGTTATTTTGTGTGGGAAAATGTTGGAACACCATCTGCATCCCATAGGCCAAGAAATCCTTTACCCTTTGGCCCTTTTCAGGCATTCACAAAGGGGTTAAATCAGCATGTGAGGAGAAGCAGTGCTCCAGTCCCATCTCCTTCCATCTCCCTCGCTGTGTTTGCTGCTCTCAACTTGTGAAGGGCCACAACCTGAAGAAGAGAACCCTCTGGAGTCATGCAGGTTCCCTGTGTGGCTCAAACCATGGATTTTTCAGCCTCTTGCTACACAGGGGGAGCCTGCATGGATGTGGAAAGCTCCCTGGTTCACACTGTTGCCCTCCATGAGTTGAGGGCAACGAACACAACAAGGGAGGGGTAGGGTGGTGCCCCGCTTCTTCATCGTGGTCTCCGGGCATCACACATTATGGGTGCTGCGCCTGCACAGTACTTGTTGCCAGGATGATTTAAGAGTTTAACGGGTTTTGGTGGAATCTCTGCCCCCACCACCCCCCATAGCATAAATGGTTGGAGTGCCTGCTCTTTCCCCAGTCTGCTTGTGACCGCCGTTCACCGTGCCTCTGGCCTTTTTCTCTTCACTTGTACTTCTCAATCATAATCCTTTAAATCTTGAACTTGTCTTTTTCTTTCTACTTTACAACTTACAGCCTTTATCCCAGTTTGCCCCTTACCGAACCCCTACCTTTAATTTCTTGTTCCTTCCCCTTCCCCTTACCCCTTCCAAATAATAATAAAATGATTATTATTATTATTTTAAAAAACCCTCTATCATCCTTCTCTTCCATAAACTCTCTCCATTCACTATTTCTCTCTTCTTTCTTCCTTGATGGCACAGCGGGCAGCCTTCCGTAAGTGCTCTCAGTGTGGAGCGAAAATATCTCCCACTGATCCTCATGAGCTGTGTCTTCTCTGCCTTGGAGAAGGGCACAGGACCGTTAAATGCAGCCACTGCCAGTCGTTCACCAGGCAGGCTTGCAGAAATCATGAGAATAGCCTGCAATTGTTATGGGACCAAGCACTGGTTGCCATGAAGCAGGTCTCAGCTGAGGCCAGCTCCTCCATGGCTTTGAGACCGCCGAAATCCATCCCCCGCTCGCCCATCTTAAAGCGCTCCTCTAATTCTCCTCCTCGTAAACATAAGGAGAAGAGGAAGCATGTCGGGTCCGAGGAGTCATCGAAGCCTAAGCATCCTAAGAAGGACAAACGTGACAAATCGTAACATCAGCACAAAAAGCATGACATGGTGCCTCACCGACTGCCACACCAATCTTGGTCCCAGTCTTGGTCCCGACCCCGGCCAAAACTCCAAGCTGCCACTCAGTTATGCAGGTGACAACTCCATCGTCATCTCCATGGATTACAACTTCGCCGCACTCCAGTCCCAATCCTTTGGCAAGAGCTTCGATCTCTGATGGAGAGATCTGTGAATCTCCTCCCCAGACAGGACCAACACGTCCACTCCTACGCCTGCGGCCCAGTCATCTCCAGAGGTATCTCTGAGGGTACCTCAATGCCCTTTTACCACCTCAGCCTTCTGCACCACAACCTTCACAGTACTAGGTTCCTCTGCCGTACAGAGAATTCAACACCGACCACTTCGATCAGCCTTATCTGTGAGATAACTATCCCCCATATGGATATTACCCACAACCACCAATGCGTCCCCATCACTCCACCCCTCACTCGGTGTCGAGGGACACCCTGCCAACTTCTGCTGCATTGCTCACCCATCCACCCACCAATGTCTCCTGACAGGTCCTCATCCAGTCCTCCTTACATACCAGATTCAGATTTGGAGGATTCTCAGCAAGCCCTCCACATCTCCCGATGATGTTATCTCTACTCAAGGTCCTGGATCTAACCAAGTGCCTCCCAGGGCACCTTCTCCAAGCTACTCTACTGGATGACAAAATCACTAGAGAGAGACATCCAACAGCCAATAGATGCCAAACAGGACAACATTTATGACATAGTTTGTAAAGAGGATTCATTGTCCATCGCTCTGCCTTTTATTACCACTCTTCAACAGACGATGACCAATACTTGGCAGCTCTCAAACCACCCACATCCCACCTCCAGGCATCTAGAGGCAATGTATAAGGTTCGAGAGCAAGACATCCCATTCCTCCTCAAACATCCTCAGCCGAATTCGATAGTGATTGAGTCGTCCCGAGGCAGACAAACCAAGGAACACTCAACTCTGGCTGACAAGGAGGGCAGAAAAAGTGACATGATGTCTCATCACATCTACGCTGCAATAGGACTCGGTCTTTGGATCTCCAACTACGAGGCCACCATGGCCTGTTATCAATTCTTTCTGTGGCAGAAGATCGAATCCCTCACTGCATTCTTCCGAGACCAGCAAAGGGAACTGGCCCACTTATTCACTGGGGAGACAATGCAGCTTTCCAGACAACAGCTGAACATGGCAATACATCATGTTGATTGTGACTCCAGGGCTCTCGTCGGTGCTGTTGCACTTTCTCACCATGCCTGGCTGAGATCCAGTAATCTGCCACAGGAGACCAAACAGCGTGTTGAGAACATGCCATTTGATGGCTCTGGATTGTTTAATGCAAAGATGGATAACAAGCTCGAGAACATCCAGAAAGCTCATCTGACCACACATCGCATGGAAAATCCTTCCCGGCAGAGACGTAAGTGGCCATGGAACAGATCCCAATACTGGTACCAGCCCTACCATCAACCGTATCCTACAGGATGTCATCAGTATGGCCAAAGACAACAACGGAATCAAAGGCAAAATGCACCTTGATACCAACAACCCAGGCGCCAACCAGAGGCAAATAAACATCAGTGCTGATGGGATGCGCGAACCATTCCTCGTTCCTCCAGTCCACCTTCCCCTCTCCCTTTTGGGGACTGGCTGCAAAGCCAACTCCCCATCTGGGAATCCATCACATCTGATAGGTGGATTCTTACCATCGTAAAGCACAGATATAAAAGTGAGTTTGAGACTGTGCCACCTTCTGGCCCGATCCACTATACAGCAGCCTCTCCAACCCTCCTGGAAGAAGTCATCAAGCTGCTTTGTAAGGGAACAATTCATAAACTTCATCGCTCTGAAAGACTGCATGGTTTCTACTCCAAGTACTCTATGGTACCAAAATGAGACGGTGGACTGTGCCCCATTTTGGACTTACGTGGGGTCAATAAATATATTAAAACAAAAAAATTCAGAATGACCACACTCCAAAATATACATCCATTGCTCAGGAAAGAAGATTGGTTCGCATCCCTGGATTTGAAACACTCCTACTTTCACATCAGCATCCATCCTATTCGCAGGTGCCTCTTTCAGTTAATTGTTGGTACCGATGCCTTTGAATATAATGTGCTCCCCTTTGGGCTCGCTACCACTCTGAGAGTCTTCACCAAGTGTATGGCTCCTGCTTTGCCCACCTCCAGCTTCAGGGCATCCACATCTCTCCATACCTGGATGATTGGCTTATCATCTCCTCCTCCAGGGTTGACCTTTTTGCCTCCATCAATACTACCTGTTCCTTGCTAGATTGTCTTGGACTCTGTGTTAATACTGAAAAATCATGCCTCGTTCCTTCTCAGGTCATCAATTTCATTGGAGCACGCCTGGTCTCTCTATGTACATGAGCCTTCCTTCCTCGGGACCGACAGGAAAGACTGATTTCTTCCATCCAATGGATCACTGCCCAATGGACTGTCCCTGCACACTCAATCCAACAAGTGCTCGGTCATATGGCAGCCATGATTTCGGTGCTGCTGAATGCAAGACTGTGAATGAGGCCTTTGCAGCTCTGGTTCAATTGCAATTTCCACCCAAACCGCGATCAACCAAACCAGATACTACAACCTCCACACTCAGTCCTGCAGACCTTGTCCTGGTGGACTAGCAATACCAATCTCTCCTGCGGAGTCCCATTCCGTGCACTGGAACCGACAGTGACTCTTTATACCGACGCTTCCCTGACTGGAAGGATGCCCACTGTACGTCTCTTTAGACCCAAGGCACCTGGCATGGATACAAGACCACCAGTCATATCAACTACCTGGAATTGCTAGTGGTCTTCAAAGCACTACGTTCCTTCCAGACCATCCTACAAGACCACATGTTGCAGATAGCGTCGGAAAACATTGTGACCATGTTCTACATAAACAAACATGGCGGTACGAAGTCGGTACCATTGGCACACCTCGCCCTCTGCATGTGGAACTGGTGCATCACGCACAGGATTACTCCTCAAGCTGTCCATCTCACAGGCACTGGTGAGGAAGCCGACTCCCTCAGCAGACACATGTCAATGATGCACAAGTGGGAGCTAGATCGACAAGTTTGTCAACATGTTTCAACTTTGGGGAACACTGGACATAGACTTGTTTGCGACTCATGACAACTCCGTCTGCAGGACATACTGCTCCCAAGCAGGCATTGGCCCAAATTCGATTGGGATGCACTCATGGTTTTGTTGGAGAACAAATTCTTCTATGTGTTCCTACTGATACCGCTAATAACAAGGACCATAGCCAAAATCTGACGAGATGACACTCATGGAATTCTCATCATCCCTTGGTGGTCCCATCAGTTGTGCTTCCCCACTCTTCTCCTACTTTCATACAACACATTTCTTCACCTACCTCAAGTTCCTCATCTTCTCACTCAGGAACACAGTGCCATACAATATCCAGACCTACATTCTTTAAATCTCACTGCCTGGCTCGTTCACTGTCTGTTTCTCCTGCATCGATACCAACAGTTTCTTCGGATTTGATATATGCACCTTCTTCGGGATTGACACCTGTTTCTTCTACAGCTGTATCCATAGCATCACAGCTTTCCAGACCGGTATTGCCTTTGGTATCAACGTTAGTACTGACATATTCCTTGAATCCAACCAACTTTCTTCCTGATATACAGTTTATTCTCCAATCTGCACTACAACCGACCACACGGCACTCCTATAAAATGCTTCACCTCCTTTGCTGCTGCTAACCAATTTCTACCTCAATCTGCTACCATTGAGAACTTCCTACAATTTCTGCTCTCATTACACCATGGGGGTCCTATCTCGCATCATCGAGGATGCATTGGAAGTTCATCTGTTTTCTCGCATTACCTTGTGCATTGATTCCCATGAGGACTACAAAACCTTCAACCACAAACCCGATTGGTAGTTCCTATGTGGAGCCTCTCTATTGTCCTACAGGCTCTCATGAAGCCTCCATTTGAACCACTAGCTACAATGGATCTCTGCCTTCTCACTTTGGAAAACAGCTTTTTTTAGCAGTGATTACTTCAGCCAGAAGAGCCAGTGAACTGTGTGCCTGTTGCATCGACCCTCCATACCTAAATTTCCACAAGGAGAAATTTGTTCTACGCACCGATCCAGCCTTCTTGCCCAAGGTTGCAACTCCTTTTCACCTTAATCAGGACATTGTGCTACCAGCCTATTTCCCTATTTCGTTGACACCGATCGAGCATTTCCTACATAGCCTAGATGTCTGGCCATGCTTAGCCTTCTATCGATCCCGAATTGAGTCATTTAGGAAAACCAAATGGCTTTTTGTCAAATACTAGGAACACGACAAGGGAGCTTCTGTTAGTACTCAAAGACTTTCAAAATGGATCATCAGGACAATTGAACTGGCTTATCACCTTTCAAAACTGGACTTGCCTGTTACTCCAAAAGGACACTCCACAAGAGCTGTCGTTGCTTCTTCTGCCCTTCGTACGAGCATCCCCTTGCAAGATATCTGCAAAGTGGCCACATGGTCTACTCCGTGCACTTTCACGAAGTATTACCACGTGGATGTCAAGACCAGACAGGACTGCTCCTTCGGCCACACCGTCCTCTCCACAGTTCTCCAGTGACAACACCGTCCTGCCTTCGGGTGTGGTAAGCTTATCACCCACAATGTGTAACGCACGGAGACCACGATGAAGGAAGGCAGGTTGCTTACCTGTAACTGTCTTTCTTCAGGTGGTTATCCGTGCATTCACACAACCCGCCCACCAGCCCCACTCAGTGTCGGTGACTGGGTATACTGCATGACAGCTCGAACCTGGCTCATCAGGATGAAAAAAAGACAGACAGACACACACACACACCTGTGAATATATATATATTCACAGGTGTGTGTGTGTGTCTGTGTGTGTGTGTGTGTGTGTGTGTGTGTATATATATATATATATATATAGAGAGAGAGAGAGAGAGAGAGATCTTTTTTTCATCTTTATGAGTCGGGTTCGATACCAGCCAGCTCCACTTGGGGGTGAACAGACAGTCTTAAGCTGACTGGCAAAGGGCGGGCACTCCGACCATTTATACTACGGCGGGAGAGAGGGAGTGGAGTTCCTGCCAAAAACCATTAAAGCCATTAAATCTTCCAGGCAACAGACACTATGCAGGCGCAGCACCCATAATGTGTGAATGCATGGATGACCACTCGAAGAACGACAATTACAGGTAAGCAGCCTGCCTTTCCTCCTCGCACATTGATTTTAACCTCCTGCTCAGTGCCTGCCTGGAGTATCTGCTTCTGCTGATTGGATAAACTAGCTTTAAGAGCCAAACTACGCAGTCAGAAGAACCACGCTGCATACTTTGGCTGAACTCCCACTTCACAATGCATGTGGGGGATGGAAGACACACCAGGTTGCTTTCCTGTATATTAAAAGGAAAATGTCCTCCTTCTCTCTCTTGTTTGTTCCTGAATGAGAAGGGAGTGTGTGTGTTGTTGTGTTTATTCCAGCAGTCCCTCAGCTGCAGTCCAGCTAGAGCTGCTTCATTTGGTTCCGCTGTTTATGCTGCTGGGCTCTACATCTTTTCATTGAAAAAGTAAGAAAGGCATCCACACTCAAGGCCAGCAATGTGCTTTATTGACAGAGGTATTCAGGGCATGAAAGCACCATTGCTTGGCTGTTCGTGCTGGGCTCTTCTTTCAGCATTGCCACATAGTGACAGATCAGGGACCATCCGTTGCCTCTCAGATGCTCCACAGGCTACAGGAACTGTTCTCATTTTTCTTTTGCACTTGCACAGGTAACACTGTCCTTCACATCTTAGTGCTGCAACCTAACAAAGCATCTGCGTGTCAAATGTACAATCTATTTCTCTGCTACAACAAGGAAGACAAGGAACTGGGTGATCTGGACTCGATTCCCAACAATGAGGGGCTTACTCCGTTTAAGCTGGCTGGTGTGGAGGGCAACACTGTGGTGAGGAAATCAGGAGATAGCCAACTTGTTCTGCAATTGCAGACATCACTTTTGTTCCTCGCTTTTATATCTAACTCCCATCAAAATAATTTCAAGGATTCCTCATCTGCTTGGCATTGTTGTTGTTAGTCGCATAGTTGTGTCCAACCCATTGCGACCCCATGGACAACATTCCTCCAGGCCTTCCTGTCCTCCACCATCCCCCAGAGTCCACTTAAGCTCATGCCAACTGCTTCAGTGACTCCATCCAGCCACCTCATCCTCTGCCATCCCCTCCTTCTTTTGCCTTCAATTGTTCCCAGCATTAGGCTCTTCTCCAGGGAGTCCTTCCTTCTCATTAGGTGGCCAAAGTATTTGAGTTTCTTCAGTATCTGGCCTAAAGAGCAGTCAGGGTTGATCTCCTCTAGGACTGACTGGTTTGATTGCCTTGCAGTCCAAGGGACTCACAGAAGGCATACTGTAAAGCAAAACAACAACAGTCATGTATGCACAACAAACAACCCTTTATTCCTTTAAGATTTTAAAGCAAAAAAGCCACCCCACAACTTGTATTCCACAACTCATGGGTGGTTCAAACACAATGGGTTTCCCATATCTGAATACTCCACATTTCTGGGGGCAGCAGAATCACTGTCGCCTGCCACCCCCCACCACCATCCTGTCTGTTCTTCTGAGCTCCCTGCATTCTCCAAGCGTGCCTTAGCAAGCATGCAAATGATCCACGAACTGACTGAGTGCCCCCACATTGGAAGCCCTCAGCTCAGCCACCTTCCACCTCTCCCTCTGCAGCTGTTTTTCACTGAAGTGGATAATTCCTCACATGCCTTAAACCTTGGCGGGAAGACTACAAAGCAGCTCCTCATGAAACCATAGGAGGAAGTGTGGCAGAGTTGGCAATAAGTGCTACAAAGAAGAAAACAATAACAGCTATCCGTAGAGAGTTTCCATTTTCCATCTTTCAGCATTTGTTCTTCTACTATTTGTATTAACAGTTTTATTGTTTTAGGTGGCAATCCTATGCATGTTTAGACAGAAAAGAGACTTGGCTGGGTGGGGCAGCTGGAAGTTGAGGGCTTTTTTTGTCTGAATGTGCATAGGATTGGGCCCTTAGAAGTTTTTGGTCTTTGATTAAGTGGTTTTACTATTTCAGGGACTTGTTGCCAAAATGTAGGTTTTATATACATGCACCCTGGTATAACATCTTGAATGGTACAAAGAAATTCTGTCAGGATAAACTTTTATGGGTATAAAAGAACAAAAAAGGAAGCTGAAATTTTCAGTATATTGAAAATTTGCTATTACAATAGAACAAAGTCCTGAGAACAGGTGCAATTGGAAATATATGTAGTGTGATTTGAAAAAGAAATTCAGTCTGGTGAGACTTCTGCCACTGTAATTGAGTATTGATGTTTATGGTAAGCTTAAGTTTTCTTTTCCATGGTTTTGTATTTTTCTAAATACTAGCATGTATATGTATTTATATATGTATGTATGTATACATATTTTATGAATTTTATATTCATTTTATACATAATATTAAAAATAAATTTAAATATTAATTTAAAACTTCTATATACTGTTCAGTCAGCCACAGGCTCTTTGAATGGTGTACAGCAGAGAAGACCACATAAAAGCATTACGTGGTATAAATCAATTTGGTATCAGTAAAGACACCAACAGTATTCACCCAAATTAAATAGATAACAAATTTGGGTTAAGAATAATAATAAACATCACCAAAATAGTTAATCCACAGTAGCATCAACAGTAATATGAATAAAACCAGTATAAAATACGATAATCATATTTAGCAGTTAAAATACCAGGAAAATAAAAAAGATTTTAGCCTGGTGCAAGAATGCATAGAGAGTCAGCACCAGCCACTCCTCTCTGGAGAGCTGATTCCACAGTTGGGGTGCCACAACTGAAAAGGCCATTCCTGTCATGGCCAGCTTCCCTGCATTTAAAGGTGGCTCCCAGAGAAGGAAGGGGACTGCAGGTGGCGCAGTGGTTTAAACCGCTGTGCTGCTGGGCTGGTTGATTGAAAGGTCGCTGGTTTGAAACTGCACAACAGGGTGAGTTCCCGTTGCTCCATCCCAGCTCCTGCCAACCTTGCAGTTCGAAAACATGTAAATGCAAGTAGATAAAAAGGTACCACTTCGGTGGGCAGGTAACAGCGTTCCGTGCACTTCGGTGTTTAGTCATGCCGGCCACATGACCACAGAGACTGTCTGCGGACAAACACTGGCTCCCTCGGCTAGGAAACGGAGATGAGCACCGCCCCCTAGAGTCAGGCATGACTGGACTTAATGTCAAGGGGAAACCTTTACCTTGGAAGGACCACCGTAGATGAACTTAAGGTCTGGGTAGGTGTATCTGGAATGACCAGGTCCTAAGCCGTTTAGGGCTTTATATGGTAGTGTAAACATCTTAAAGAGGGCCTGGGCTTTTTGCATCAGAAAGGGGTCATGGGGGCAACTGTCACATGTGAGACTAGTGTAACTACACTGCTTTACTTCCTTATGACCAGATGTTCCAGCACCTCATGCAAAGAAGGAAGCACATCCTGTGGACTTGGGGGCCTTTGACATCCACCTTGTATGACCTCACAGAAATTGATTCGTGGGGCGATGACCAATCACTCCTGGAGCTCATTGTCACCTCCAAAAAGAGAGAGGTATTTACTGGGAATTGCTCTACAAACTTCAATAATCTCAGTTTTCTGGTATTGTTTGGGAGCCCTGTATCAGAGGCAGATCAGCTGTTGTGTGTGGGGAGGGGGGGGGGGCAAAGAATGTAAAAATAAAAAAACTCACAGTGCTAAGCTGCCAGCAGAACAACAGCAACAAAAGATATACAGGAGCATTTAAACAGAATGTTCAACAAACTTCTTGTACCTTCTCTTGGTTATCACAACAACCCTTTAAATTAGGCCAGATTTATTATTCCACTGTTGCAAACTAAGGGAATTTTGTGACATTCACTTGCTCAGATGGTGCAAAACGTTGGAGAGGTTCTCAGTAACTCTTACTCTGGAAATTACAAAGAGCAATCTCCAGTGGGGGGTGGCATGGGGCAGGGGGAGCCACAGCAACCCAAGAAGGATGACATTCCAAGAAGGGAGAGGAGGCAAGACAAGGCTGCCCAGGCCCCTGAGATCCCTGCAGAAGGACTGAAGGAGTGGCAGATATCCCACAGCAACTCTGGTTGTCTGCGAGGTGCACCAAGGTTCATTCAGTGAACTCACACTGAAGACCTCATTCTCGCGGGGGGCGGGGGAGGGCTGTGTCAGGGAAACTCACCCTTTTCCACTCTTCCTGTCCTTTCTCTTTTGATTACAAAAAGGATGGGTTGTGAAGGCAGCAAGCAGGCTATTTGTGCGTACAAGCTGTGTGGGGCCCACCTTGTAGTGGCAACGTACACAGCCACCATGTTCATGTGATTATTGGGTCATGTTGCATGTTTCCACTCTCGGTCTCTATTAGAACTGTGTGCTTTTCAAAAGTGGTTGTCATCCGGCCACACCAGAGAGGTCAGAGGAAGGAATGCCACTTACTGTATTTAATGCATGACTTGCTTCTGAGGTTTGCACTTTAGTTCCCGTCATGGGCACCTGTTACAAAATTGTATAGTTTTGAAAGCGGTGCCACTCATCCAGTCTTCCTTTTCTAAATATCAGAAGCAACTACCATAGGCAACATGGCTGCCCTGGGGATGCTGGGAGTTGTAGGACTTTTTTCTGCATGAACATGTATATCATGGTACACTTGGTCTTTAAATTCATGTGCTAATGTGGTGCTACCGCTTTAATGTCATTCAGGTTACATCCCCCTTCATTTTTAGTGCCTCAGCACTATTTGCTGTTGGGTTGGGTTCCTTTTTGGGAAGGAAGCTGAATAAAGGCTACTTGACATCCTACAGGCACGGCGGATCCTAGACCTTACCCCTGTGAACGAGCTCGTAAGCCTGAAGTGGAATAAATATGGCAGGCCATATTTCTGTATCTTGGCCTTATTCTATGTCCTGTACATGATTTGCTTCACAATGTGCTGTGTCTACCGGCCTCTGAAAAAGCGAAACTGCAACAAAACCCATGAAAGGGACAACACCATATACATTCAGAAACTTTTGCAGGTAAGTACCCTAAGCATTCTAGGCATTAAAAAAAAATCTGTGATTTCCATTTCCGGTAGAAGAAAACCTGCATAGAAGCAGCTGTAGGTAGATGTCTCCAACAACAACAGGTTCCTGAAGATCAGGGTAGGTGGAGAAGATGCTCCATAATTCAAAAAATCACATGGAAGGCTGTCAATACCAAGATACTGCTCTTTATGGAGCAATCCTATGCATGTGAGTCTGTGTCCCATGGCAGTTACTTTTGTATTTGTGCATAAGGCTGCATTGTGAATGGAGAATTATGATGAGCCTGGCAGCATACATGGGAGACGCATGTTCAGTGTGGAGTAGAAAAGCAAGAGAGCAGGTCAGAGCAGGCAGACATGGATTGCCTGGAAGTTGCCGCTTGCCATGGCAGCCCAGTGTCCTGTGCTTATTGGCAGAGAAGCACGTTGTCTTCATGTTTTATAGGAATCTCCTGGAGGCACAAGAGTGCCTGCTGTATAAATCGTGAAGCAGTCTTTAGGCTGAGGAACGTCGTCTGCTGATTTTTCCCAAGGAGACTTCTTCCGCCTGAGAAGAATTAAGATGCTGAATCCATCATGTCTTTCCCTTTATTTTTCTAGATTTTACCGAGCAAGCAATTCATTTAGGGCAGGGGTCCTCAAACTTTTCCACCAGGGGGCCAGTTGAAAGGTGTCGGTGCTGGGCGCGGGCCGGAAAGGTGGTGCCAGCGGTGTGTGTGGGCCGGCACTGCGAGGCGGGCGCACGAGGCAGCAGCTTGCTTGCTTGGAGATCGTTTTCTCCAAGGGAGCAAACAGCTGCCTGCCCACACATGGGGCAAGGTGGGCAGCAGTGGTCGCGCGCATGGCGGGTCCAAATGAGCATGGCGGGCTGGATCCAGCCCCCAGGCCGTAGTTTGAGGACCCATGATTTAGGGGAATTGGTGTGTGTGTGTGTGTGGCATTTTATCTGCTTGTCTAATTGGACTCAGGGTTTCAGAATGGGTACCAATATGCTTATTATTCTATCCTGTGCATTCAAATAAAAAAAATTAAAAACCCTTCATCGGCTTCTGGAAGATGCAAAGGTTCTGACCTTGGTGGGTCTCCAAACAGAAAAGAAGGTTGACGAGTCACCACTGGCAATGTGCCTCCTTACAGACCAAGTCTGATGCACTGATGGTGTGTGTCACAGACCACCCCTGGTGGTAGCTGGGCACAAAGGTGGGGGCATGCTGAATCCAGGTTCTTTTAGGGCACCGCTAACACCTTAACCTGACCCTGGAAGGCAATAGATGTTCTCCATTGAACGCTTACCTCTTGGCTTATGTGCTATTTCTAACAACGCTGGATCACATCTTCTTTTCAGGAGTCCTACCTCACTCCTCAAGATGACCTCAGACTTGTTGGTGAGCTCATCACTGTTATTGGAGCCTTGGTGATACTGATTCTGGAGGTAAGAGGAATGGCTTCTCCTTTTCAGTCACTGTGTAAAATGAGAAGGCATAAATATTCCAAGATCTGAGGGGTGGGAAAAGTCATCCAAATGAGCAATATTGCTCCATATAAGTCATTTCTAACCCCAGTGATCTTTGTGAGATAAAGTCAGACAGAAAGTGCAGGTGTTCATGGCTAAGTGAATCTTTTCAGCCAGAATTTGGTTGCAAAGGGGAAGTAAGGAAGGACCTCTGATTGAAGAGTGGCTGAAACAAATTTGGAAGGCACTGAGAGTGATCCAAGATTCCGACAGGGAAGGGGCCAGCACTGCTTCCACTGCAATTTGCCACCCCTTTCCTAAATGTCCTGCAATGGGATGGATGCCTTGCATCCCGAGAGAGAAGTGGTATGTGGACGCAGCAAGTGCTTTGAGCCCCCTAGGCATCAGTGGGGCCGGCTAGTTGGTCACATGGGTGGAAGTCTCACTAATGCCAATGAGACTTCCACCTGATCAGCCTATTTAACCATAATTAAATGCAATGGTTAATTCAACCAGAATTAAATACATTTGTAATTGAATCTTGTGCAGTTCTGGTCTACATTTTGGCAAGGCTTAATTTTGAAATGCCTGGGCTCTACCCTGCCAAGAGGTTATGCTCTTTGAGGTAGGTCCCCTACCTGCCATGAATGATTTCTCAACAGAGAATCTCTGGGCTTTTGGGTACTTATCTTGTAATAATTAACTCTTTGCTGTACCATTGAAAAGGTTTTGGGGTCTTGAGGATGTGAGCTGCCAGCTTACTGTCTGGACATCCTAGCGTGTTTTATTTAGTGGATGGATGGATGGATGGATGGATAATTAAAGGAATTTTTCCTTAAAAAATGCATTGCACATAACTGATCCACAGATATTTCTTAGATTCCAGATATTTTCCGTGTTGGAATCACCAAGTATTTTGGACAGACAATCCTTGGAGGACCTTTCCATGTCATCATGTAAGGTGTCTTCCTAGTGGGCTTGTGTTTGTGGGTACATGTAGAGACTAGAAATCTCCTAACTGGAAGGCTGCAATAAGTGTGCAGGGCTAATGTGCAATTCTTACTGTCGCTTCTGCCTGTGCAGCATCACATATGCCTGTATGATCCTGGTGACCATGGTGATGCGTCTCACTAGCACCAACGGAGAGGTGGTCCCCATGTCCTTTGCTCTGGTGCTGGGCTGGTGCAACGTCATGTACTTTGCACGAGGATTTCAGATGCTGGGGCCCTTCACCATCATGATCCAAAAAGTGAGTAATATCTAAGCAATCCACTTAGGAAGTGAGAATAATAGAATAGTAGAGTTGGAAGAGGCCATGAAAGCCATCAAGTCCAACCCCCTGCTGTTGCAGGACACCAAGTTACACCATCCCACTCAGATGGCTGTCCAGTGTCTTTTTGAATGTCTCTGATGTGGAGAGCCCACCACCCCTCTAGGAAGCTGGTTCCACTGTCGTATTGCTCTGACAGTACGGAAACTTTTCCTGATGTCCAGCCTGAACCTGGGTTGTTGCAGCATGAATTGATTATTCCATGTCCCACACTTTGGTATCAGTGAGAAGAGATCTTGACCTTTCTCTTTGTGACAGTCTTTGAGGTACTTATAGAGGGATATCATGTCCCCCCTCAGTCTTCTCTGTTCATGGCTGAAAATGCCCAGTTCTCAGTCTCTCCTCGAAGGGTAGTGTTTCCGAACCCTGGATCATTTCTGTTGTCCTCCTCTGGACCCTTTCAATTTTTTTGCATCTTTCTTCAATCTTGGTGCCCAGAACTGGACACAGTATTCCAGGTGAGGTCTGACTAGTGAGGAGTATAGGGGAACTACTACTTCTCACGATTTGGAAGTAATACTTCTGTTAATGCATCCCAAAAGAGCATTTGCCCTTTTGGCAGCTGCATCACATATTTAGTCTGCTGTCCACATTACACCAAGATCTTTTTCTTTTTCAGTTCTGTTGAGCCATGTATCCCTGGCCTGCATTAATGCTTTTGGTTTCTTTCTCCTAGTTGGAGGACTTGGCACTTGTCCTTATTGAATCTCATTCTGTTGCTTTCAGTCCAGTGTTCAAGTTTATCAAGATTGTGCTGGATCTTCATTCTGTCTTCTAGGGTGTTTGCTATTCTGCCCAGTTTTGTGTAATCTGCAAATTTGATTAGCTTTTCTTGTACTTCCTCATCTAAATCATTAATAAAGATGTTAAAGAGCACTGGGCCCAGGAGTGAGCCCTGTGGCACCCCACTGGTTACCTCCATGCAATTTGAGAAGGTGCCATTGGTGAGCACTCTTTCTGTCTGATTTAGCAACCAATTTTGGATACACCTAATAGTTTTTCCATCTAGTCCAGTTTTTTGCTAGTTTGCTAATCAGAATGTCATGTCAAAAGCTTTGCTATATTCTAGGTAGATTATGTCCACAGTGTTTCCTCTGTTCTTTTGGGAGGTTACCCAGTCAAAAAGTGAGATTAAATTTGTCTGACAGGATTTATTTTTAATAAATCCATGTTGGCTTCTATTAAGCACTGCATTTTCTTCAACATGCTTGCAGACTGATTTTTTAATAATTTGCTCCAAAATTTTCCCAAGGATTGATGTCAGCCTAACTTGTCTGCAGTCCCCAGGTTCATCTTATTTCCCTTTTTTAAAGGTAGGGACAACAATAGCCCTTTTCCAGTCATCTGGCACTTCTCCTGTTTTCCAAGGTTTATCGAAGATAATGGCCTGTGGTTCTGAGAGTTCCTCCATTAGCTCTTTTATGATTCTGGGATGGAGTTCATCAGACCCTAGAGATTTAGCAACTTAGAAACAGAGCCAGTCAGAAGGGGCCTCCCATGGGTATGTCCAGCCTATCCTTGTACACCCTCATCAATGGGGCTTCAACCACTTCCCATGGAAGCCCATTCCATACCCTTGGGGTCCTAACTGTCAGGAAGTACTTCCTTGCATCCAAATTGAACCTTGGTTCCCTGAGACTTGCTCCATTGGAACACGTCCTGCCCTCCTCTGCAGGAGAAAACAGGTCTCTACCCACCTCCGCATGGCACCCCCTCGTGAATTGAAGGTGTTTATTCCATCTAGATATTCCTTAACCATTTGTCTATCAATCTTGGGCTACCATCTCTCACTTTCAGCTTGTAGATCTTCTTGTGGGAGAAAACTGAGGAGAAGTAAGAATTGAACAACCCTTCCTTTTCCTTGTCATCTGTTATCACTCTGTCATCCACTTTAGTAGCTGGACACTCTTCTTTTTCTCATGATTTTTGTTCTGGATGGATCAGAAGAAGGCTTTCTTGTTTTTCTTAGCATCCCTTGCTCCTTTATAATTGAGAATTCAAGTATTGCATGGTCACTTCCCCCCCAGAGTTCCCATGGTTGTTCTTTTGTCCACCAGGCCATCCTTTTAAGTTAGTACCTTCCTCTACTTTCTGCTGGAGATAGTTGTCGGCAGCACATATCGGGAATCTCTTGGAGGGACCATGCATGGCAGAATTTGTCCCCAAGCACACGTCAGGGAAATTGAAATCCCCCATGATGACTACATCATTCTTCTTGGAAATGCTGGCAAGCTGCTTTTAGAAGGTGCATCCTTGTCCTCTTTTTGACTGGGAGGTCGGTAATAGACACCAATAACTATTTTTTTCTTATTTTTTGGTCCCTTTAAATTAAGCCAGATGCTTTCAGTGGGGCTACTAAGTTCCTCTTCTTGTATTTCTTTTACATATGTGTGTCTTTTACATATAGTGCAACTCCACCTCCCTTTTTGTCCTTTCTATTTTTCTTGAACAGGTTGTATCCACCAATTATAGAGTTCCAGTCATGTGAGTCATCCCACCAAGTTTCTGTTATTCCTATAAGATCATAATTGCCCTCATGTACTATGAGCTCAAGTTCGTGTTGTTTGCTTCCCATACTGTGGACATTGGTGTAGAGACACTGAAGTTCTTGCTCACTGTGCCCTGGTTTTCTTCCTGTGCTTTTTGGGAGACTGGTGTTGGGCCCTGCTTGATGTTTTTTCTCTGTTGAAATATATAAGTCCTTGGCAGGTGATGGTACACCATGCTGCACAACTCCCTATATATTCTAGTTTAAAGCTCTACTGATGAACTTTTTCATGTAGTGGCCAAACATCTGCTTCCCGTTCTTTGTGAGGTGCAGCCCATCATTTACCAATAGTCCATCTTCCAGGAACCTTAGCTTGTGGTCCCAGAATCCAAATCTCACTTCATGGCACCACCATCGTAGCCAGTCTTTCACTTAACAGATTGTTCTTTCCCTAAATACTGTGGAAGTGTGATGTCTTTGCTACTCAGAGTCATGTGAGATCACATGAAAGAGAAACTCTTAAATGTGCTAACTGCCCCTTGATTTCCCTGGATAGATGGGCATTTTGCAAAGCAGATGTGAATTGTTATTTTATGACTTGCAATTAGCTTAATTGAGCAAAGCCAACCTATGTTAGATGTACTTTGGGGCCTCCCTCCATCGGGGATGCTCACACAGGGAGAACCATCTCAGATTCTTCGGAGCAGAATTGGACCAGTCCCAGTCTGTATGAGCAGCACAGCCTTCTTCAATTCTGCTTGCACCCCATGTGACTTCATGCCTGCCACCCCACTCCTGACCCCAAGGGGAAGAAAGTCCTGCTAGGAGACAATGAGAGAGTAGCAGATGGCGGAGGGTTCCTTGGAGGGAAACATGGGGCGCTCTGACCACTGTGACATGCCCCCACTGGGCTGGGGATGGGAAGGAGCACGAGGCGCTACTGTGCACAACGGTGGAGTGTAGTGGAGGGCAAGCTGCCGCCATGTGCCGCTGGGCTGGCTGGCTGCATTGCCCTCAGTGCCTTACTTTGCAAATCCTTTCTCAAGTGAAGCCTTGGAGGGCAGCCAGCCCTGAAGGCCGTCTGTTCTGAGCCAGCACAGCAGGCGTCCTGCATGGCTACCACCCTACCAATGCTTACTCTCGAGAAGGCCACTCAGCATGCTGCTTTGGGATGGGCAGGCTCTGCAGAGAGCTGCATTGGGCACACTCTTGCTTTGCGGAGGAGGCTTCTGCTTGCACCCTGCTCAGGGTGAGGCATCGGCTGCATTTGTACACCACACTTAGCCCCTCCATGAATCAGCCACCATGGGTCAATTGCTCGTTGAAAACTCACCATACACCCAACAAACATTCCAGTGTCTTTTGTGGCAGAACCTGGCTTGTTCTCTTCTTTTTGGTTCAACATTCCACTCACCACTTCAGAACCTCAAGAAGCAAAGTTGAATTTCTACTCTTTCTTCGTCATGGCCTCTGTACATCACACATATGGGTTCTGCGCCTGCGCAGTGCCTTTGGCCGGAAGATTAACAGCTAACGGTTTTTGGCGGGAACTCCATTCCCCCTCCCTCCTAGCATTATATAAGGAGCGGAGTGTCCGCCATTTTCCAGTCTTTGCGAAGGAGCGGAGTGTCCGCCATTTTCCAGTTTTTGCGACCGCCGTTCGTTGTGCCTCGTGCTGCTTCGCTCTCGCTTAGATCATTACTTACCTCTTGCTTGTTGAAAAACTTCCCTTTTTCTTACCAAGTTAGTATTCCCTCGTTCCTGTTACTGTTAGTGTTTTCACTTAGTTCTTGCTTTTCACCTTTTTTCTCTCTTGTTCCTATAAACCTCCCCCCCCCAAAATATTACTTTCCCGCTTTACTATCTCCTCTTCTATTTCTACGATGGCGCAATGGGTGGCGTTCTGCAAGTGCGGCTCCAAAATGCCCGCCGCAAAGGGCACAGGACAGATAAATGCGGCCACTGCTTGGCCTTCTCCAAACAGGCGAGGAAGAATCGGGAGAACCGCCTCCACAAGCTCTTGTGGGACCAGGCTCTCCTCCAATCGGACCGGCTGGTGGCTAAGCCTCCCACAACTGTGGCTCCACCCGAAGGCCGTCCAACTTCAGCCGACCTCCCGCAACGCCTCGCCTCTTCCTCCATTGCTCCGCCCTCACGCCCTTCTGAAGAAGGTGCTCCTACCATGGCCGATCAGCCCATTTCCCTACCAAGGAAACAAAACAAAAGGAGAAGAGGAAGCACAGTGATCTGGACAAACATCCTGTGCATAAGAAGGCCAAAAAAGATAAGGCGGGCAAGCCGGTTAAAAAGCCAAGGAATCCCGAGCATGCAAAGCATCGCCACTCAGGTTCGGCGACCTCCTCAACCCTGACTCCAGCCACGGAACCGACCCCGTTGGTCCTGACCATCCAGGCGGCTATGAGGGTTACTC